TGTTCTGTTAGGGAAATCCAGACAGAAGACCAGCCCACTCATTCAACACCTTTGGAAGGCACTGCCTAGCGAGCAGCTCTGGGCAGCAGCAGCAGAGCCTCTGTCACTCTCAGGCATCTCACTATGTGGTTTTTCAGGAGAAGGCTTCCTAAAATTCCCAGAGCCCTCATTTGGCTTATTGTTTTAACACATTTTTGCATCTTCATTGCTAATTTCAGCTCCTTGTTTGGCATGTTGAAGACAAGGATTTCCAGGTAAGAGACCTGCTTCCTTGTGATATGCACTGTCTGGATAGAGTGCTTGTGCTCACTTTCTTTTTCTCTCTGTCATTTTCCTGAAAGTTGTCCTTCTGCTCAGAATGAGATGACCACTTTGCTTTAGCAGACCATGTTGTGTACAATCAGAGCATGGTGTTGGAAGATCCACAGTCAAAAACTTGCTTCTGCTGGATTGCTAGTTTCTGTTTCCTTGTGTAGCTGTTTAAGAAAGCAGCTTTTGCTTTACTAATGCTACGTGTTTTCATACTTTGGCCCTACATATTATTTGCTTTTCCTGGTGGCTCCCAGAAGGACCTCATTCAGCCCTAGTCCAGATTGTGTTGCTGGACGTTGAATACCTTCAAATTTATAACGAGTTCAGCATCTGATTCCTAATACAAATATGCTGCATACTGGGAGACCAATGTCATGTAGACATGATCACTATATATATTATTATTTATAAAAATGGTCAAGTTCATTCTACAAGAATGAGTGTGGAGAGAACTGCAGTGTAGACTGTAACTGTAGTAAAATGTCTCCAGCGTTGTTGGCAGGAAGCACTGTTCCTTACATAAGCACAGCAGATACTTTCCTACTACAAGCACGGCTCACACAGCACAGGGCACTAACATGTATAGGAAGCACTGCTCCCCAGCCTCCCCACCAGCCCTCATGGTCCCAGGTCTCCTGGTGAGCTTGTCTGGCTCCTCTTGGTGGGGTCAAATCTCAACTGGACCTCTCAGGGCTGATGCTGTGGGGGCAGGCTGGAGGGGTGAGGCTGGGAACACCTACATATCTTCTGGAGGTCGCATGAGTTTAGTTCAGCTCTATCAACTTGAGACTGCACCTTGAGGACAGTTATCAACGTGAAGAGGTCGGAATCTGCACAAGGGAGGTGTGGGGAAGGAGAGAAGGCAGAGGTGTAGAGAAGTGAAGTGAGTTGTCCTTGGTCACAGAGCCCATCAGTGGCAGAGCTGGGACAAGCACTGGCGCTCCGTGCCCAGCTGCTTGAAGCCATTTTGTTCTGCTGTAGTTTCAGGTAATAGAAATGTCCATATTTTTGCAACTTAAGTAAAACACAACTAGGCATGAGCTGTATGTGGTTATTTGTGTGTTGGTTCTGTTTCTGTACCTCGGGCTTTGTAAATGGAGAGGAAAATGACAGTAAATGTCATTGAGCTTCTACAGTTGTTTGTCAGTTGGACTCTAGAGCCTGGAATTTGAACTGCTTTGACCAGTTGTCTGGATTTGAAAAGCTGGTCAGGAGAGCAGGGTCCTGTCTAGGCATGAGTGCCTGGCCATGTGGGTCTGACCACAGGGAGCAAGGTTTTGGATGTGAAGGGCCCTTGGTTTTACATTTTGGTGTCTCTATGTTTGGCAGAGTATTTGAAATTAAAGTGTAATAGAGCTGGGATGGAATCTATGCCCTGTGAGACAGCCCGTACGGAAAGTCTGGGATGGGGGTGGTTTGTGATACTGTCCAGTTTCCTTTGTTCTCTGCCCTTTAATTTCAAAATTTTGTCTTAAAAATACAACAGAAGATCATCCAGGAGTTTAAGACCTGTCTGATCTACCTTACCAAATTTCTCTTTACTTAGAGTGTATGTATAAAATCTTTCCTCTTATTGGGCAGTAAACAGTAACACAAGTTTATACATGAAACACTATGATAGAAAGCAGCTACTGCATACTTGGTTGAAACTGGGTAATGATTATGAGGGGAGTTAGAGGAAGAGCTGTTAGGCCGTTTGCCACAACCACTTTTTCTTAGCCATAGTGTTGGAAAGGTTTGAGTATTTATCTGATAAAAAAATTATTTTAAAATGTCGTCTTAATTGATAATTTCCTAATCACTTTAATGAATGCCATACCACTCTGAAGCTTCAGCACCAACTGAACTGTATCTACAGCCTGCTATCTGCAGATGTGCTTTTTTCCCCATTTAGCACCTCAGAAGCAATCCACAGCTCTGAAACAAATGCATCATGCAAAGGGTGAACATGTGTGTGAAATCAGTCTGCCACAACTATGCTCTTTTATCATGAAAAGCTTTGCTGTACATAAAAGCTCAGCTGCAGAAATTTTTCACCTTCCTTTTTCTTGTTCCACCCTCCAGCCATGTGCAGATAAGAATGAATGTTTGAGACAAAATCCCACCACTTCTGCCTTGTTGTTTGTTTTTTTTTTTTCTGGGTTTCAGCCCAGTCTTCTTGCAGGTGGCTCTTCTGCTGCTGACAGCTGTATCCTCCTATGATATCCTCTGAATCGGGCAACAGGGCAGCTGCAGTATTATAGGTGATTGCTGAAAATGCAGAGGTTTTACATTTTTAAGCTTCAGAGTGTCTGTTTTTAAGACAGTGCTGTGTGATGCCATTGCACTAGCTGGCTAAGGGAGAAGAGGAGAGGAAAAAGATCCTTGTGGCCCCAAATGCTCCAGTGATGTATGGTAAAGGAGTGAGTTTCACTTCTTACTAGACTTCCCTTACTGAATTCTGGAAGATCTTCATGCTCTGTTGCTGAAGCACTTTGCTGGCAAAGAAGGTAGAGCCAGATGGCTGCCTTCATGGTGTGTGCCATGTCCTGAACTCAGGGTCTCCAAAACAGTCCTGCAATGCTCTGGGGACATTGCCGGGGTGCTGCCCACTGCAGGGTAAACCTGTTCTGTGCTTGTTTGCAGTTACTGCCCGTGTGGATGTTTCATGAGCCAAGTGCTTAAGAGGAGTGTGTAGCCTTTGGGATTTGCTTAGTGAGGTCATAAGCAGCATTCAGGCCAGGATGGTGTGGGAAGTTTGAATAATGCTTTGGTGAGGTTGAAACTGAATTCATACAGCATCCTGCAGAAACTCAGTAGCAGCTGCCAAGGCAAGTCCTCTGAGCGTGGTGGTCGTGTGCAGCAGTTGCTTTGAAGCACAGAGAGGCTCAAAGTCCAGAGCACTAGAAATGGGCTGGAAGGTGTTAAGTGGAAAGTGTGTGTGACATGTCTGCTTTTCCTTTGCATTCAGGCAATTGAGCATTTTCCAACATGCCCCAGGTGTGCTACAAGTCGACATGCAAGAGCCACAAGGTTTAAACTATTCTGATAACGGGAACTCAAGGAGCTTTTTAAAGGTGACTTTGGGGAGTGACATCACAAGGCTCGAACAAAATATGGTTGAGAGGACACCAAGATGGGATGGAAAGGAGGAGCAGAAGAAAATGATGAAACCAGTTGCCAGGGTGGAGGAAGCCAAGCCGAACATGACTGTGAAACCAGGGGTTTCTGCTGGAGGGAATCCAGCAGGGCTGGAGGGAATCAAGAAGACAACAGTGAAAACAGTCCCTAGAGTGCAGGGAAACAAGGAGAAAATGGTGAGACCAGCTCCAGGGGTGGAAGAAGCCAAGGCAAAGGCAACAGTGAAACCATCCTCTGAGGTGAAGGGAGCTCATGAAAACAACATATCCAAAGACCAAACAAAGCCAGAAGAGCCTCCTGCATCAGTGAAAACTGTAAGACCTCAGGCTACTGCAGTGATAGAAAAGAAAAAACTGAGGGCTGCTGACTTCAAGTCTGAGCCACGGTGGGATTTTGAGGACAAGTACTTGCTGGACAACTCATCTCCACCATCGGTAGGTGTGATGGCCATGTGTGTTCACCAAGAATGATGCCTCTCTGACCTCCTTGTCTGTTGTCCCCTGGGTGTCCCCTGCAGTGCCCTTTGCAGTCGAGGTCAATCTCCAAGCTTGTAGGTCAACTCATTGGTATATGCAGATGCTGCTGGGACTCAGGTAGGGAGAGCTGTGTGTACAGCTCAGCCTGGCCAGTCCTTCACAACGCTCCAGTATGGGAACTTACTGCAATTGCACATGTTTCCATGGGTTCCTTTGAAAGTCAGTCTGAGCAGCCCTTTCTGGAACTCAGGTGCATCAGAAGCTGGGGAAAATATGTCTCCTTCTAGATATGCTACAGGGTGGTCCCATTCTTAGGTGCCTTCATATATTGCATAGGGGACTTTAGGCACACAGTGCAGCCTATATGTTCCCTGTGATGTGGTACCCTAAGGTAAGTTGCGTCACACCTAGCTTTGTCATGCCTACAGGCAGGCATTAGGTGTCTGGCACTAAATGGCAGTGTTCGTACAGGCATCCCATTTCTCATCTGATCTCATGGGAAACTGAACATCTGTATTCCTATGAAGACTCAGGTTTACAATCCCTAGATTTGCCTTGATCTTTGTTTTATGCAGCCCAGCTAAAGAAAACAAGCAGGGTCATGGTGAGGGAACAGGAGTAGGAATGCCTCCGTGTGCCTATTCACCTAAACACATATATACCAAAGCAAGTCAAAAGCTTTGGCTGCAGTGGGGCAGCAGTGATGCTTGTGCTGTGCTAGGCTGTGAAGAATGATGCTGGCAGTGATGGCGAGGAGGTTCTCAGTGCACAGGAATGGAGGCTTTGTTAGTTGCTTGCATTAAAGTCAAAATAAAGAAAAAAGGTTAGATGGGGATTGATAAGCATGTACCTGCCTGCTTTGGAGACAGTAGGGTGGGGACTGTTCCCATTTTTAAGGTTTTCTGTCAATATTGCCAAAAATTCAACTATGTGTATATGTGCCCCATTGGAGAAATGATGATTAAAAAGTAACTTTTTTACTGTTCCTGTGGCTTACTATCAACAAGAGGAGTGTCTTTCCCAGGTGTTGCCAGGTCACCTTTTCTACCCTATATGTAGACACCCATAGTGAGCAGGCAGATTCTTTACCCATTCAGAGCTCCATGACTCAGATGGTCTGAGTGTGTTGGGTTGCTATCTAGGATTTTCTTGCTGTGCATTGAACCATCATGACAGCAGAGCAAATGATTTGGAACAGATCTGGCAAGTCTTGCTTTGTTCCTCTTTGTTAAATAGGAATCACTGTAGGCCTGGTCAGCACAGGAGAAGCATTTTGGTAGAGGTGAAGATGGGAATCTCAAATGATACAGTTGTACATGTCAGGGCAGTAGCACTTGCACAGCTACAGCTTGATCCTGTTTGTTGAGTGTGTTCTGCAGGTTAGCTCTTGTGATCACCTCTGCCTGTGTAGGTCATGTTATTGATGTGATCTTCCAAAATGGTAAGTCTGGTGCCCACCATCAGGTTGTCTTAATAGCCATGGAATTGAAAACTTGTCTGTCTTTTCAGTTTTGCAGTGAACTCTTGTTCTGACCGTATTTTTGACCTTTCCTTTGTAGCTGTGAGGGTTTGGAACTAGTTTAAAATTAAAATTTGAGCATCTCATAATTACTGGGGTCCAGGAACAGGGCCTTTAGGAAAGTCATAAACTATAGCAAAGTTCTCAGCAAGCAGATGAGGCAGGTTGTGGTGTACAATACTGTCTCTGTCGCCCATCTTATGCTGGTAACTCTTTGTAAAACTTATTCAGAGCAATTTTCCCTGGCACCAAGCTAGGAGGCTTGGACAGGCAGGTGGCCCTCTCTAGAGTGAGGAAGGTGTAAGTGGCCTTTACACGCTGTTCATGTGCTCA